GTTATCAATCTCTAACACAACTCCAACAACAGACCTATTTTGGCTTAGTACTTGCTGATTTGGTCAATCAGTGGCCAAATCCACAAACCATAGCCAACTTCAACAACAACAGCCTTCAATAATCCTCAAATAGGCATCACTTTGAGCAGGATTCACTGACAGACATCATACACGGCACAACAAAGCTATTTATGAAACATATTTCAGCGTATAAGGTTGGTGAACCAAACAATGATAAATTTATGACATTAGATCTCTAATAATGATGACCAAGAAAACATCCAAATAAATATGAAACCACTGGGCTAAGCTGAATGTCCAAAGTCATGAACATTACCACCATATCACATATCCACTAACAGCTATAACATGCTTAATTAAGGACGGAAAGGAAACTATATGATGAACACTAAACCATGACATAAAAATTACTTGAACTAGAATCAGACTTAGAAGAAAACTAGAGCTTAAACATTGGAGCATCAACTTTCATTTATACACTCCCATTCCAAAGATTCAAAAGTGTACCTGGAACAGCCAAAATATAACAAAAGGCTTCAACCAGATGATAATGAGATCAACAGTAGTAATCAGCAGCAGGACAATCAATTCAATCCATGCTTAGAATCCAAAACCAGTGAAATATTTGAAGCAAGGAGAAAACCAGACGAAAAAATGAACCAGTTACTTCAATGAAATAGTATTTTAATCCCCTTTTTTGTGCTTTCCAATTCTGAAAGACTTTTTCTTTTCCAGTGTGTATTTTTTAGAGTTTTTGGGTGCAAAGAATGATGCTCAAAATCTGATTTTAGAGTGAAAGGAGGGCCCTCTTTTATAGGCCTATAAGGCCATGTGCTTAAAACAGAAAACGGGAATTATTCCCAGCCTGCAAAAGGCATCTTTTCAACCAACTGCAGCTGGCTGTCCCCTATTGGCTCAGCATTTTTGTGCTAACCAAATAGGGACAGCTGCCCCCTCCTCTAGAAGCTTCCTCTTACTAGACATTTCTGAAAATTGCCCTAAGTTTTCTTTTAGTTCAATTAGGTCCCTATAAGTTCTAGGACTTACAAATCAGGGCAAATACACACAAGCAGGCCAATTGTCATGGCCAAACGGCCTAAGAGAAACCCAAGTCAGGGTTAGATGGCCCAAATCAGGCCCAAACCCAATACAACCTAGGCCTCGATTGATCAGGCCCTCCTTGACAAACCCAAAACCCAAAATCAAAGTAAAATTGCACAAACTAAACTAGCAAACCTGTCAACTAACAACTAAATTCAATTAAACTATCCTAAGACAGATTATAATTAACCTAAACATGCTAAAAATGAACTAAAATTTACTTTATCATGCAAACAGAACCAGTGAAGAGAAAACACAATCAACAAACGAAGGATGGGAATATCAGTGATGAAATTAAATTGGTACTTAAAGAAAAGAAAAAAAATGGGGAAAGGTGAGATTTTACCCTGTTTCAGAAGAACAAGGATAAAGAACTTGAAGGGGAACTGACGAATTCTGGCTGGACTCCGGCGAACTTGTCCTAATCCGATGTCCTCGGAATGACTTAAAACTATCGTCAATCGATTGCTCTTGTTGAGAGCAATCAATTAACATAATATTTAGGTCAAAACGAGTCGAAAAAGTACGAAAATCAAAAAAGGAAAAGGAAATTGAAGTTTGCCCTTTTTTGGGGTCTCAGATCTGAAATTTCGTGAATTTGGCCGGGATTTAACGAAAACTAATGATGGATTTGGGAAGAAGGGGGGATGAGGATTGCATGGTGTAATTTTGGGATGGTTTGGATGACCTAGGGTTTAGAGTATGATTTTCAGATCTGAAATTGGGTGGGTTTGGTCGAGTTTTTGGGAAAATTACTAAGGGGTTTGGGTTTATGAGTGTGTGAGGATTATAGGGTGCGAATTTGGGTGGATTTGGAGCGTGTCCGCCGCCGTGGGGGAGATTTGAGCGACGGAGCAGGGCGGCGCCGGCGGGGGGTTTCAAGGCGGCGGTCTCTAGGGTTTTTGAGAGACGGAGAGGTGAGGAGTGAAGAGGGGTCGATGGGGTATGGGGGGTATTCGGACAGTTTTATACTTGGGGGTTGATAAGTTCCGGGCCGTTGGATCTCAATGATCCAACGGTTGTGATGACAGGGGCAGAAACGGGGTCGTTTTGGGGATGGGGAGACCTGGACCGGGTTAGCTATTTTGGGTCTGGGTTTTTGTGGCGGATTTGGGATTGGATTTTGGGTATGGGGGAGCCCAATTTCAATTAGAAAGCCCTCTTTTCAATTACCTCTTTTTATTCTTTTTTTTTTCTTCTTTCTTCTTTTTTTTTAATTAAAAAAAACCTAAATTAAAAATCCTAAATTAATCTAAATTGCAAAATTAATCTAATTACCTAATTACAAAAATTATAAAAATTATTAATCCTAAGTTAAAAGAGAAAAATTAATAATCTAAAAAGGTAAAATGTAAAATGGGTCATTTTAGTGATTTTTATTTTAATAAAAACAAATAATTAACCAATTAACCCTAAAAATATAAAAACAAAACCTAAATGCAATGCATAGTATTTTTGGTATTTTTCATGATTTTAACAAAAATTAAATGTGCACACAAATGCAAACAATTAATAAAATTCTACGAAAATTCCTAAAAATGGCAAATAATTAAGAAAAATCTATTTTCCTGGGATTTTTATAGGAGTAGTTCGTATAGGGCAAAAATCATGTGCTCACAGGAACATATTTTAGCTTTTGCACACAGAATAATTCATGTCCTACTATAGATATAAATTCTTCTATTTATAGCTTTATTCAGGGAGATAAAATTCCCAAATCAACTTCTTCTTTAATATGAATAAAACCTCTCTTAATGACTGCATAACGGTTGAACATTAATACAGATATTCTTTGCAACGACTGGTTATTGAATGTTGTCTTCATCAACCGATGTCTTCCTTTCAAATCTTTGTTCTCAGTTTCAATGCCTTCAGAACTTGTTTAGCACCGATCATATATTTGTATCCGGAGCCAACTATTTGTTGTAATTTTATTTACCCCTATTCAATGTTTACACCAAATCATATTAACTTACCACAATTAATAATTAAATGAGATAAAAATGTATATTAAGTAATCATTATTAAGTGATAAAAGCTTATATATGTAAACACATGTTTTGATGTAAACACCGGAGCATGTAAGCACTTTCCCTTGTTCAATATGTGAAGAAAAACAAAAAGTGAGACTTAGCTTGCTAATAAATATTGTATGCAGATATCCTATCAACTGATTTTTTTTTCTTCATCGATAGCCTCAGAGTAAATAAACCTAATCTAATCTCCAAGTGATATCTAAATCACGCGCAGGCTGATCTTGACATCAAAATGGAAAGCTCAGTATCTCGATAGTGGACACATCATGATTCTATAATAGAATTTCTATTATAAGCATGTTATTTATCTTGATTGAGTTTAAGATCCTATCATCACAGCTATAATTGATGAAGAGATAAAGAGAAGAATAAATTATCTATGAAAAAGATTAATTATAAAATAGTTTCAAGGGAATTTTTTTCTAAGACCGAAGGGTCCAAAAGTGGTCATAAAATCTTTATCTCCCCCTAAGTGTGATATGGAACTGGTTAGGCAAGATACTTGGATGGTTTTAAAAGATCAGATCAGAGTAATAATAATTCGGACAAAGTACAAACTGTAGATACAAAAACATCATCGAAACCACATTCAAATCCCAATAGAGACCCAAAAAAAAACATCATTTTTACCCATCTGTCTAAGCTTTAGTAGGCAGTGCTATTCAATACTCCCTTCGCTCACTTATACTTGTCCAGTATTCTAAAAATACATTTTCACTTTTAGTTGTCACATTTAGCTTATCAAGAGAAAAATAATTTATTGTTCCTGTTTTGCCCTTATCATTAATTACTCATTTCAAATCATTTTCCAAATCCATTAAGACCATGCACCAATTAATAAGGGTATCATATGTACTTCATTTATTATTTCTTAAGAGTTGTGCAAAGTCAATAGTGAACAAGTAAAAGTGAATGGAGGGAGTATTAGGTACCTATGTTGTGGGGTAGCTTGTACACGGTGGAATAGTCGAGATATGTGGTACGTGCAATCTAACCCAGACAAACAATATTTAACAAAAAAAGTACAAGCTGCAGATATAGTGGAAGGACTTGTATGCATTCCACTAGTTAGTGCACCCCCTAGCCAGTTGGCCAATGTTACATAAAGTGAGCCTAGTCTGTCCTTATAATACTTGTCTGATAACCTTTATTTCTTATCATTCTGGAGTAAAAGCAGCTAACTCTAGGCATATTCAAGATTCAAATCCTAATGGCAATTTATGTAGGTGACACATGGAAAAGGTGACATGCTAAACTTCCCTGTTATTTGACTGACAAGCATTAGCAAAAGCAGAGACGGATCTAGAATTTGAATCTTATGGGTTCGGAATTATAATCATTTTAGGTTTTTGGGTTCTAAATTAATAACTTATATATATTACTTAGATTTCTTAATACAAATACAAGATTTAAACAAAAGCTTATGGGTTCGACCGAACTCGCAAGTAACACTGTGGCTCCGTCCCTGAGCAAAAGCTGAGAGTTCCTTTTGTTTGTGCTATTGCAGAAAAGATTTACATGCAGTTATGCACTATTCAGTACTTCCTTAAACGTTAATGCAGATGAAACACAATTCAGTAACACAAGAACTGTTAAACGCTAATAGCTGATTAGAAGTGCACTAGGTAAGAGAAGGGGAGCCTTGGCGTAACTAGTAAAGTTGCTGCTATGTGACCAGGAGGTCACGGGTTCAAGCCGTGGAAACAACCTCTTGCAGAAATGCAGGGTAAGGCTGCGTACAATAGACCCTTGTGATCCGCCCCTTCCCTGCACAACGGGAGCTTAGTACACCGGGCTGCCCTTTTAGGTAAGAGAAGTAAGCTTTGACAAAAACATATGTACTTGTAGAAAATTTGTACTCTTTTATTTCTTGTTATTATGGTTTGTCCTTTGCCCAGAGTATTTGGATTGCATAGAAGAATAACACAATAAAGCAGTATACATTGTTGAAGACTAAGTAAGACAGCGCAAACAAGGAAACAGATGCGTACAGGAAGGTTAATCACATACTTAGACTACCTCTCAAGCACCGTTAACAACATAGAAAGACCTCTCGAGAACCACTAGAGACTCTAATTTCACCACAATATCTGTTAATACTAGGTAGAAGACGGACGACGACCATTTTGACCAAGGTTAGATGGCTGGGGGCTAGGAGTTTGCTTTATTTCAAGTCCCTTGCCAGTCAATCTGGGGCTCCTTTCTCCTCTTAGTACATTGACTCTTGGACTGGAAGCCCGTTGTGCTAACTGTGGGCTGTGCATAGACTTGATTTCCTCAAGTTTGGTGGGAGTGGAACTAGTCACTCTTGGGCTGCATGGATGCCGGATCTCCCCACGGCTTCTTGTGATTATCTCATCAAGAATTTCACTACTATCAATGCAGGCAGGTCTTGCCTGAGGATCTTGATCCTGTAAGTGCATAAATCATAGGATTAAGAGAGGTGTGTCAGGACAGCTTCTATCATACATTCCCATATAAAACTCTTTATCAGAAATTTTTCAGCGAAAATCTTATATCCTGATTAATGCATAATACTGAATAAATGCTTTCAGAAAATGAGAAACCACTATTAATCTCAATTTAGAAAGTATAATGGTTAATAGTACACATTATTTTAAGAGTGATGAGGATAAAATAAGAAATTGAAAAAAGCTGAAAGATATAGACAACTTACTCCAAAGGACATATTGTATGCTATTGCAGGAGCTTCTTCGTATTCTGCAGCGTCTAAATCTTGCAAATGTGCTCCTTTGAAAAACTTGGGAAGCAAATACTGGCGCACTGGGACAAGCAGCATGATCAACATTGGGAATAGGACACCAGCTATTGGTATCCATGTTATGCCGAAACACAGGAGCAAATAAACTGTCTGAAACAAGGTGAACCAGGCAATTGTCTTGAAAGGTACTGTCTCAACAAATGTTGCATGATTCTCTTCCAAGACCCTAAAAAATGTGCGGATCAGGAAAGGTATACCAGAAGAAACATCAGAGACAGAGCAAACTACGTTCTTTTATGTACAACGTAAGAATCTAGCAGGGAAACGTAAGAGGTTGGTGAAAAATGAGGATAGGTTCTAACTCTTTGCGGATGTTTGAAAAAAGAAAGCGTCCGATTAGTATCTATTTGATCGTTTGTAGTCAATCTCATCCAAAGACCTTAAGAGATAGTGACAGCAACATAAAATTGTAAATTATTTTAGGCCTCTCTATGGGATGCCACGGTACATGCGTACTACAACATACGAGACAATATTAGAACAGAAAAGGAGGTGGGAGGTAGAGATAGGGAGTGAGGTGTGATACGAGCATTGGGAACAAAACTCACTTGTATCGTCGACTTGGTGCAGTGAAAAGCAACAATATCCTCTCCCAAAATTGATTTCCCGGCAAACTCTCAATTGCCATGAAAGCAAAGTATCCCCAGAGAACAGAAGAAGGAATCTTTTTCAAGATGGGCATAGCAGCGACACAAGCACCAACCATTAACGCCTGAAGGAGATTGCTTAGACGTTGCTCTTTGACTTCTACTGGTAAGAGCTCATCGATATCCTTATCTACATCAAAGACTGTCTCGTCGACTGGTGCATCAATGTACCCAGTACTGGACGCCTGTTGAATCGTCGTCTCTTTTAGCTCTTTCAGTCCCTGTTTGAAGGAACACTGTAAAATAAGCATTTTAATGACATTAATTGTAGCCAATAGGAAATGACATTAACTATTTACCAGTCCAGAGGGAGTTTGATAGACAAGGGGAGTCTGCATTTCATTGTAAGCCTCCTGCATGCTCCTATATAATTGGCCAAGATTTTCATTTTTACCGATGCTGTTTCTTGCTGTTGATACAAGCTTATTCCGTAAAAGCTGTTTCAATAGAAATTAGAAAATTAGAATAATATATCAAAGAAGGGAATTAGAATATGCTCATCCTTAATCATTACCGAAACCAAAAATGGTTCCTGTAGATGTTACAGTGTGAAACCTTAGAGAAACGCAAGAAAGCAGGAGATAACAAATACTTATGAACTAAAGTTCCTTTTCTATTTTTCTGGGACGATCATGTAGTATTAAGTAGATCGTTCCTATTTTCCTACTATTCAATCTAAAATATCACGTTAATTAAGATTTTACACCTGCCTAGGGAGCTGGTGTGTAGACTTGTATTATTCAACTAGAAAGTAGCAATGGACGCAGAAACATAATGCGAGTCGGTAAGAAATTTCCTAGTCCACGATATATTCAGCATTAGAAGCAGTGGAGAACTGTGTAGATTTGAATATTAAGAGATAAGTTTAGTACCTGATGTTTCAGAGTAGCTAAGCTTTTTGTATGCATTGGAGATTGTGGAATGACTCCATTTGAAGGAGGAATGCCAAGAAGACCACATATTATGACCTGATGAATTTACAAGTACCAAAGTGAGGCACCGTATCAACTAAGTACTGATAATTCATGCACTTTTACAAAAAAATTGATGTTAAAACAATAAAGCCAGAGTCAAGAGCCTACCAAGAAGCCCAAAAGAAGGAGGTCATAGTGATACGAGGAAGGTTTCTTTAGATTGAACTCTTTTTGTTGGGAAAGTTGAGATGCAACACTGTGATCAAAATAGTAAAGGACAGCAATCATTGTGGCTGGGATAAAAGCTCCGACAATATATAGAGGAGGAACATGCATCATTTCCTGTAAAAACCATCATCTTGAGTTTCAAAATATGCAAGATCAAATGGACATCGAATACATCAAATAATAAATCCATGATATTGAGATGGATCAAATACTACAGGAAAACAAAATAGGAAAAACCTTGATAACTGTCCAATTTGAATAAGCTCCAGGTGACCATGGATTGGGGCTGAAAAGCCGCCGTGGTATCCCTCGTGGAACATCATGGGATGGTATGTATGATACAGCCGTCCAAACAAGAACCATTAGTGGGACACCGTAGTCAGCAATAAATCCTCGAAACCACCCTTTGAACAACATTGAAGTGTCAACAAATACACAAAGTACCTTTTTAGTTTCAACAGGAACTGATTATTTAAACTGATGACTACAAACAAGCGACCGACCTACATAGTATATTATAGTTTAAGTAATATTTTTTTAAAAGAAGAGAATTTCATTCTGTTATCAGTAACATTCATGTAGTTAATTTTTTTATTTATACCTGTTCCATAGCGCCAGGATCTGGCTTTACGGCTCTTCAGTGCAGAAAGAAGAAGACCAAAAGATAAAACTAATGCAAACATTCCATTTCCAAAGCGCCAAGAAGGTGAAAACGCAGCCTGACGAGGATTTTCTCTATCGGGTATGCCAAACTCCTCCACCAAACCCTGTGTTTTCGCATTAAGGAAAAGCATTATGCTTATTCTAAAAATTTTATCCAGAGATGCTATGACAAAAGTACAAATTAGTGAACACCCTCTCTTTTGGTGTTCATTGATGAGGAGAAGGAATTGGTCTTCCAAATCTCACCAAATACTGAAAATAGTTTGTAAAAAGAAGTAATTTTCAGAAGTTATTTCATTATTTAGCTAAGAGCTTCACTAAGATAAAGCTTCAATAATAGTTCAACGAAGCCAGCTGCTAACAAAGCTTTCTGAGGAAAAACAGTAGCAAAACTAGATTCTGCTTTTTATGTTGGTTTCATGCACTGTGTACTGCTTTCAACTTGGTTTTTCTGATCGGAAGATTGAAGGAAAACTAGGATCATACAACACGTCTGAGCTTGCTTACCTTAATAGCCTCCTGCATAAAGAGCATTGCAATGAGCATACCGAATAATTCACCAGCCAGACGTGTAAATCTGTTTATTATAGAGCAGGCGCCCAAAACTGCTAGCAAGAAAAGCAGAAAGGCGGTCCAAACACAAACCCTGAACATAACCGTGTTAGAAAGAGTGATGTTGCTTCCAGATAGAGAGTTTGATAGTGCTCAGAAGTTACCATCCTGTCCAGGCTAGGAAGAGATGCGGACCCAAGTCCTTCCGATCTTTTGCAAAGTTGAACATGAAAGTGTACATTAACACAGTTGGCTCGGCTACACCTAGTATAAGTAGTGGCTGTCCACCAAAAATGGAATGGATCACACCACAAAGTGCTGTTGAAGCAAGAGTCTGCACCGCAGTTATACTTCCATCTGAGATAACATTAGACAAAAGCAGCATATCAGTAACTACATCATCAATAAGAGGAAACTAATGCAGGGGAAAAAAATCAAATCTTACCAGTGCTTCTTTCCAGTTGCTCCCCAAAAGAAATAACAGGAATTGCTGATGCAAAGAAAATGTAGGTCGTTGGGGCCAGGATCCTGCAATAGAACATGAAAGACAATCTTCATGCAACTATAAAAAGGTAACGGAGAATATAATTTACTACATATGCACTACACTGTCGTGGAGGAAGGGTAAGAATACTCTAATCTCAATGAAAAATAATGTTTTTCCAAGTGCAAAATCATTGATAAGTAATTTGCATTTCAGCTAACCTGATACCAGCACGGAGACCACCGGTCCAATCTTGCTTGTAGCATAACAATCTTCCTTTGAGATCATTTTTGATTCCACGGAGGGGAACGAATGTTTCTTCCATGATCACTCAAAATTTGTCCAAAATGAAGGGTAGAAATTTTGTTCTTTTTTTGTTTTTCGTTTGACAGACAAAAAAAACTTGAAGGACAACAAACTAGCACAGAATTGAAGGGACTCGAGAGGCCAATATGAAATTTAACTAAACTTGCATAGGCAAAGAAGCAAAACTTTGGGCAGGAAGGACAACACCTACTTGATCATGACTAGAGTATTTAGGATAAAAATGAAAATTGGCTGATTCATTTCTATTAACTGTATATTGACCTTCATTAAGGTCCATAAAATTAGCTGTTATTTAACTAACTCTACATATTAACAGATTTACAAAGAATGATTCTTGAAGATTACAAGTTAGGAAGAACAAAAGAATCAGTTAGCAACGAATAAGATATATGTCTAGGATGTACCTAAGACTTCCAAAAAAAATTCTGCCTATTTGAATTCCATAGGACCACAAGTCAAAAAGATTAACGGAGTAAAGCCATAAGTGGTATAAAAATCAAGACTTTAACGAAAGAAACAGCAGTACTCCATTTACTGAAATCTCAATTAACGGTTGACTCCAAAATGCTTTAGATCCATTACACCAAATCTCTTCCTCACATATATAGAATAAATAGACGCCACTAAAAATTGAACTTAACAAGGAAAAAGTGGGACAAAGATCTAATTTTCAGTTACATGTCAGAACTTTAGTATCTGACAAAGCTGTTTATATATCCTTAGTGCTTAGAGCAGAGAGGACAAAGTAGTACCAAGAATTTAGCGAGACCCCATTTTTAGACAAGTGATTCTTAGTGCTTTAAAACAAGTTCAACCAAATGGGTATAACAAGAAAGCAAAGAATCAGAGACTTAGCGAGAACCCATTATCGGAATTTGACAAGAATGATTATGACGAGAGAGATAAAATGGGCATGAATTAATCAATCAAAGAAAGTAGCTTTTCACTCTTACATTACTTCAAGAATAGGCAGTTCAATAAAGGAAGAAAGTGAGTATTTGAGCAATGAGCAGCCTGTTTTTACATCAGTCAGGAGAACAAAGTAGTAGAAGAAATTGAACAGGAAAACTGAATGTGGGTATGAAAGAAGAATGGAACACAATGTGTGTGTGTGTGAGAGAGAGAGAGGGGGGGGGGTGGATTGCTGATGGAAGTTGTAACGGAAGTAAGCTCTTCGGTCGAGGGATGATTGGTTTGAATTAAGTGAGAGATGAGTCAGTCAGTATAAATAACTCTCTCAGCTCCCTAAAACCAACAAACAAATAATTACTTTAATTAATTAATAAAACACCAGTAGTAATTTGGTAAATGAAGCTGTAAGTGTGCTCGTAATAAAAATATTAAGTAAAAATAGTACGGACTAGCTAGTTTTCGGATTGGTCATTTAAAAATAGTCTGCGTTTGCAAAGTCATTGAAAATAGCCACTATTTTGCTGCAACACGAAAAGTTCCAGCATAATATACTCGAGATCGATACACCTGTGTATAACTTCCAGCATATTATGCTGGAACTCCAACACGCAGAAAGTTCCAGTATAATATAGTGCTCCAATCTCTTGTATATTATGCTGGACCGTATATTATACTGGAACTCCAGTATATACTTATGCTGGAACTCCAGTATAATATACTCGAGTATTTTTCCGGACTTTGAACAATGTGTTCGTTCAGATTTATTTTACATGAAAAGTGATTAAATTTCGTTTACTTTTAAAACTATGGCTATTTTTGAATCACCACTTGTAAATTTGGCCAAATATTAAAGCAGAGCTAGAACCCACCCACCCACCCCAAAACCAAGAAAAAAGGTAAGTCCTCAGCCACATTGGTAATTACGGGTATAAAAAGTTTGATCAATTTTTTATTTTTGTTAAAATATTTATTTAATATGTACAAACAATCTACTACAATCCAATAAATAAAAAGAATTATGACCCATAAAATAAAAAATTCTAGCACTGCATCTGAATTAACTGTTCTAAAAAATATTGATAAGCTTTAATTCTAAAGAAAAATTGAATGAATTACCTTTATCTCTTGCTTAAATAATTGAGTTCTTCACATTTTGCATAAGGGTGGAATTGAAAAATAAAAACTAATATCTTCAATTTCTAGCATGATAATTATTTTCGAACAATTTTTTCTTTTTACTAAAGTGACCGAAGTGAGCAATACCTAATGCTTATTATATACTTTAATTCTTCATTTGTCCTATCTAATATAAAACCACTTTGATGGAGACATAGGTTAAGATGATATTTAACTCGTGTATAACACAAATTATAAGACAAGAAAAAATTAAAAGAATTGCTGAAAAGAAAAGTTGATTTGAAAAACAAAAATTGTACAAACTTAAATATGATCAGTTAAGTATATCCAAAATAAATATTGGGCAAAATACATAGTTTGCCCATCAACATTGCAGCGAAATCCCTATTACATACACCTCTCTTTCACGGGAAATTATTTACACACTCAACCTTTCAAAAGTGTGCCTAAGATACACTACATTTGACTAGATAGCACTTGCGTGTTTACACACAAAAAAGTATGTGAAGCCCGTAAAAAATCCCATTTTTTGTCTCCCCTCCCCACAAGGACCCCTCCCCATCCCTTTGGTCTTCTTCCTCACCACCCTCCCACTCATTTTCTTCCTCAAATAGAAATTTTGAGGACATATCAATTTTATTTGTTTGTGATAGATTTAAAAGCTTAACATTAGTATTGAAGGTTTGGTGAAAAAAATTAGACTCCACCATTGTTGGGGTATCGAAAAAAGCTTGAAAATTCAATTGGGTCTTATTGATTATCGGGTTATTGAACTCAGTTTGTTGCTTGATTATTTTCGGCTAGTTGTTTAGATAGTATGGTTAAATTTTGGTATTGTTGAAAACTTTCTCACAAAGAACCACGGTGGTAGCAACAATGGTGCTTAAGATAGAAAATGAAAAGATGAAGAAGATGGATTTTAATTTTAATTTCTAATTTTGTTTCCTTTTTAGAGACAATGACACGTGTCACGGCCCTATTAGGGCGTGACTTTCATGTTATCTTAAAAATTGGTCAAGCACAAAAGTGGTATGTCTTAGACACACTTTTGAAATATTGAGTGTATGAAAGGTTTTCCGTAAAAAAGAGGTGTGTAACAGGGATTTCGTTGGAAGGTTGATAGGTGTTAAGATTAGAGTTGCATTGTAATTATTTAACTAGTAGCCACATTTGTTAATTGTTAGAATTGGCTATGGCTATTATTGTAATTAGATAGTTAGGCTGTTAGTTGATGTCAGGATAGTTAGTGGTAGTTTTAGGCAGTTAGTCGAGGATGACAACTGTACAAGTACAGTGTCCTGTATATAAACGAATTGATCTTCTGATTTCCAATCAATGAGAAAATATTTTCCCCAGTCTGAAATTCTCTTGAAGCTTCTTTTTCTCCTCTGAGCTTCATGGCTCTCAGCCATGGCAGTTGAGCTTCAGCTCAAGTTCTCTCCATTAAGCTCTCAATTTTCACATGGTATCAGAGCATTGGTTAGCATAGCAACAAAGAAGAACAGGGAGATCTTTCAGCTTGATGTAAATAATGCCTTCCTACATGGAGATCTGAATGAAGAAGTATATATGCAAGTGCCACCGGGTTTATCAGTAGACAAACAGAATTTGGTGTGCAAGCTAAATAAGTCATTGTATGGGTTGAAGCAGGCAGTGGTATGCCAAGTTAACTGAGGCCCTATGATCCAGGGGATATGTGCACTCCATGCTGAATTATTCTTTGTTTTATAAAAGAGTAGGCAATTCAGTGGTTTTTGTAGCAGTTTATGTGGATGATGTTCTCTTGACAGGGATATATTTAGAAGAAATTAAGGCATTGAAAACTTTTCTACATGCGACTTTTAAGATAAAGGACCTGGGGCGATTATATTACTTCCTAGGTTTGGAAATACTATACAAACATGATGGAGTAATAATCACACAAAGGAAATTTACAAGGGATCTGATACAGGAGTTTGAATGTTCACACTGTACTCCAATGTCCTCTCCAATTGATCCTTCGACAAAGTTAAAGGCAGATGAAGGGAACCTGCTCACAAACCCCACTAAATACAGGAAACTAGTGGGGAAGCTGAACTTTCTCACCAACACACGACTTGATATTGCTTACAGTGTTCAACATCTCAGCCAATATATGCAGAGTCCTCGAGATTCTCATCTCAAAGCTGCTATGCATGTACTCAGATACTTGAAAGGTGATCCTGGTATGGGGATCTTCTTGTCAAACAATGCAGATTATTGATTGAGAGCATTTTGTGACTCAGATTGGGCAGCTTGTCCTGAGACCAGAAAGTCTGTCAGTGGTTTCATTGCATTGCTTGGGGACAGTCCATTCAGTTGGAAATCAAAGAAGCAATCCACTGTATCTTTAAGCTCTGCAGAGGCAGAGTACAAGTCTGCGAGAAAGGCAGTTGCAGAGCTTATTTGGTTATCTAAACTTCTGGAGGAGCTGACCATGCCTCTAACTCTTCCCATTCCAATCTACTGTGATGAACAAGCAGCATTGCACATTGCAAGGAATCCAGTATTTCATGAACGGACAAAACATATAGAGGTAGATTGCCACTTTGTTAGGGACAAGCTTATTGATGGTCTGATTTCTCTGCATTATGTCCACACAGACGACCAACTAGCAGACATACTCACTAAATCCTTGACAGGCATCAAACACTCTTCATTACTTTACAAGTGGCAGTGAGTACCTCCCTTCCAACTTGAGGGGGGGGGGGAGGGTTTATGATTAGAGTTGTATTATAATTATTTAACTAGTAGCCACATTTGTTAATTGTTAGAATTGGCTATGGCTATTATTGTAATTAGATAGTTAGGTTGTTAGTTGATGTCAGGATATTAGTTAGTGGTAGTTTTAGGCAGTTAGTGGAGGATGACAACTGTACAAGTACAGTGTCCTGTATATAAACAAATTGATCTTCTGATTTCCAATCAATGAGAAAATATTTTCCCCAGTCTAAAATTTTCTCGAAGCTTCTTCTTCTCCTCTGAGCTTCATGGCTCTCAGCCATGGCAGATGAGCTTCAGCTCAAGTTCTCTCCATTAGGCTCTCAATTTTCACAATAGGTAAACTAGGTATTTTGCCAAAATATTGTAAAAAGTTGCTAGGAAAGAAAAAAAATATAACCATAGTATCGGTAGTGTAGTTTGGTGAATCTGGTATTGGAGAGATTCAAAAGGAGAAAGTCAAAAACAGTGATTCAACTGAAAAGCTTCTTTCATGACTAGGAAAGGGATGCAATTAAAAAAGAAACAAAAAAGCGAGCAGTTCAGCAAAGAGCCAAAGACAACTGCTAATTGACCTTTGAAGTTTAAACAATTAATATTTGTAACTGACCAACTTTCTTGTCACTTCCTCTTATTCTAGTTAATAATACTCCGTCGTTTAATTTAACTTGTTAATTAATGTAAGTTCAAAGATACACGCATAAAATAAAGTCTCAGCTTAATTGAAGTGAGATCGCTTGTTAATAATATATTACCCCGACTATGTAGGCTCTACATGATCAATTCAAAATAATACAAGCCAAATTGAAGATATTATTTTTATTATTTAGCAAGAAGATTTATTTTATAGAACACCACTTTTCTACCTTAAGGTATGAGGTCAAATATGGACCATTTTAATGTTCGTTTCCTTGGCATAAAGTTTTGTCAATTTTTTCTTATGTTATAAGAAGCTAGAAGTATATATATGTATTTTCGAGAAAATGATGAGGACAATCATTGAGGGTGTGTTTGGTATAACAGAAAATATTTTTCGTGGAAATGTTTTTCAAGAAAATGTTTTCTTGGAAAACAAGTAGTAATCTTATTCATTTTTCGGTGTTTGGTACGCAAATTAAGGAAAATGACTTCCCAAGAGTATTCATAAACAATTTAGATATAATAAACATGAAGCCAACTTTCAAACCAACAGCCTTCCGGACCCACAAATTTCATAAACTTTCGAACCGCTAAACTTTCAAACTGCGGAATTTCGAATCCCGTAAACTTTATAATTTTTAAACTCGTAAACTTCCAAACACATAAACCTCCGAACTCATAATTTTGGAACTTGTAAAATTTTGAGCCTTTAAATTATAGGGGGCAGGGGGTGAGGGGCGGGGCTGGGGGGGGGGTAGGGGGGTTATAAACGAAAAATTAAATTACAAAAAAGAAAGTAAAATTTTTTTTTGCGGGGTAAGGGGGGCAGGGTGGGGGATTGGAGTAGGTGGTGGGTGGTGCAGAAAAATGAAAAAACAGAAATTTAAAATTGCAAAAAAAAAAAATTTTGGTAGAAAAAATATTTTTTTGCGGGAGGGGGGGGGGAATGGAGGGGTAGTAGGGTGGGTGGTAACGAAAAAACTGAAATTTGAAAGAAAAAAAAACCTTTTTTTGGAGAGGGGGTGGGGTGGGAAAGATTGAGAAAGAGCTTTGGAAAATGTTTTCCCTTCTCTTGATAAGGAAAATGAATTGATAAGAAAAATATTTTCCAAAACATTTAAGCCAACCAAACATGGAAAAATTAGAAAATATTTTCCAAAAAATATTTTCCTTCGTAAGAATTCTAAAATTTTAAATTTGCCGGCGCTTTTTAGCCAGCTAATTGACGTACACTTTAGTTAGCTAAAAGTGCAAGTTTCTTTTAGTCCACCTTCTTTGCATTCTTTTCATTTTCCCGGAGAAAGAAAAATTAAATCACCGACGGGAGAACATCAGTGAGGTTGTTAGCCGCATTGAGTTTGCGTCTAAATTAAGCAGATTTAAGTTATATACACTTATAGTTTATATAAAAAATTTGTATTACTACAACAGGCTACAAGCTTTTATAGTGGCATCTTATTTGTTTCATTTGCTAAGTTATTAATCTCATTTATTGTGGATAGTCACATATAATTATCTTTTAAATAATTTAAATATATAAAAAAAAATTATATTATCTGTCTATATACGTTAATCTCAAATTAAAATGCATATATGTTTAACCCCAAAAATAGATTTTTCAGTCAAAGTCAATATCAAAAAGAAATTGGGTTATGATAACTAAGATTTACTTCACTTTCCCAATAATTTGAAGGATAAATCAAGGAATGAAAATAATTGACAAAGAAAATATGAAACAAATTGATAATCACTCCAAAAAATTGCGGTTTAGAACCTTTAGAATAAAGTAAAGAATGATTGCATAAATTCTTAATAATTATCCCTCATATTTCAAATGAGGTTTCAGCCCTTATATAGGAGCATACAATTATAACAGTTTTCTTACTTAATTCGGGCTCACTAATGGAATTAATTGCCTTGATTACCCGTTACCATATTCAATTGTAACGGAAGTATTTACGGCTAAAAATTTCCTTAACCGTATCGATTTCCCTTCCTTATTCATGACATGTTCGTGCATCTTCCCTTCTTAACAATCTTTATTCATTCCGCTCCTGTTTCTCCTTTTTACAGCTGTCAGGTCCGGCTCTTTTCTCAATGTAATCCCGAGAGTGTTCCGCCCGTGCCTCTTTCGCATTCTTTAACTCGTCTAATTAAGAACACCAGTTGTCGCTATGTTGATGGTCCACGTACCATGCCCTATCACCTCGATGATAGTACGCATGTCATGCCTTTTTTCCACTAATACAGATAGTCACTCCACTTTTTGAATATTCTCACCTGAATATTCGGGAAGTGGTAAGTATTTATGGCAGGAATTATTTGCCTCTGTTTCTCGAGTATCATTGTGCTCTTTTAAGAATCGATGCAACGTATGTCACATCCATTTAATGCTCATGCCATGTGGCTTCACTTGATTGGTTCTGCAATTTCTCAGCGCTTTTTTACGGTTTTCCTGCGGCTGCATCAGTCACGAAGTGACGGTTCTATTATGACCCTTCATAATGATCAACTTTGATGGTGTTTGCATCTCCTTATAAATGCTTCATCCCCCTTGATTTCTTGAAACCCTCTTCCTTCTTCTCTGTATCCATCTTCTTAACCTTCCTTCGTATTCCTATATCTTTCCTTTGTATTTTCTTTGTTAAACATGTCTTCTTCAACACCAGAACCTCGTAAAGTTGTGATCGTCGATGAGTTTGCTCCTTCTACTGCCCCTACTAAGAATAGGAGAGGTGGTAGACTCTGCAGTCTTGGTACGTTATCTACTCGCAGTTCTACTTCTCTTGAGGAACAATCTCAGAAATTGTAGTCTCACGCATGGGTTCATTCTGATCACTATTTTTAGATCAGATCGTGAAGCCATAAAAAATCAAGTTTCTTCTATAGCTTCCTTTAACCCTGCTGAACACTACCCCAGTTTGATCACTCATGGTCTTCTTTTTTCTTTAGTTCGACGTGAATATCATTGGAAACCATATTTCTTGGTTTTAATTCTTGGTGCCAACCAAAGAACCACTTCTTACCATGCTAGCTTCTCTTTTATTTATACCTACCTTTTCACTTTACGGTTTAAACCTCCAATTGACCCAATGATCATCGAGTTCTGCCGCTATTTTAATGTTTTCCTTGGCCAAATCGGTTCCATTGTGTGGAGGGAAGTGACATGCCTTCGCTATTTGTCGGATTTAGTTTCCGCTCCTTTTACTTTCCGTCACTTACTCCATCTTTACTCTCCTAAGCTATTTCGTGAAGGTATCTTTTCTCTCGTGGCTAGAAGTAAAAGGGTTTTAGTTAGCCCCGAAGATGACCGTGGATGGTACGCTCATTTTGTTGCTGCTCCCACTAGTGGATTAGTGGGTAAAGAAAACACGCCTTTTCCAGAAAAATGGAACTTGCACGTAATTTTTTTTCTTCTTTCTTTGATGTCTTGAGTTCCTTTATATAATCGCATATTCATTTTCTTAGCAACCATGAAAGTCTTCGAAGAAATTCCTAACTTCCATACTTGGGTAGAAAAAATATTGACTGTTGCTCCCATGGATAAAAGATCTTGGAAATTTCTTTCATAGAAATTTGGTTGGAAAGTGAAGACTTGCGGTACTCTTTATTCTCGTGCTTTTCCTTCTTTACTTGTTCATATATAACTTTTTTATCACCCTTTTTTAGGGTTTTCCATTCGTGCATCAGTCCCACATATGTTACCTAAACTAGGCTTTCTGTAAGTCTTGCTCAAGAATGGATTTTGAGTGCTTCTTCCTCCAAAAGAAAAAGTGTTGAAGCCCGTGGGTCTGATGATGAAGAGGATGTCGAAGAAGGTTCCTTGGTGAGAAAACCGCGTTCCAGAAGACGCGTGGTTTTAGATGATGAAACCCATGTCTCTCATGATCCCCCATCAAGTTCAATTTCCTTCAGACTCATTGATGAGCCGGAGAGTGCTCCTTTAGAAATTTCTCATGAAGATGTTGGTAACTCAGCTAATTCCACCCAAGTCCTGTTGAAAGGTTATTCGCCCGTGGATTTGAGGGTGAAGAAGGTCGATGGCCTGTTTCTGAAGAACTCCCACTTGCTTCCCTTCCAGTTTTACCTACTATTAACCCCCTATGTCTTTACCTAGCGTTGCCCCAATGGTTGCTCCCGCTGCTGCTTCTCATGTAGAAGTTGATCCTTCTAGCAGCAGGCGGGATATGAAAAAAGTTGTTATTGAAGTCCCCAAGGGTGGAAATTTATTGAGAAAATCTGGTCAAGCTGATGTATGGCTGAAACTGTTGTTAGGACCCGTGGAAAAGAAGAAGTTGGAAGGTCACAGTTCCTTAACTT